CTGGACAGCTTTCAATGGGCACTGTGGGCTGTAATTCATCTCTGAAGCTGGGAGCTTGTACGTCTTGCCCCTCTGTTTAACTCTCTTTCACCTGCCGGTGCTGGGACTTCTGCTGTTTGTCATCCAAAACCTCTGCAACGTGCTGGGTAGCCGCCTTCCCCTGTGGAGATGATGTAGCTCTGATATTGCTGGCATGAATCTGCAACTGGGCCTGGACTGAGCTTTACGAGGCTATGGCTGACAAGGTAGCCTGCCTTACCTCTTCCTGGCTGATAGCATTTGTCAGCTCACACCTAGTACACCCTCATCTGAACACATTCTCTCGGCACAGAGTAAAGCTCTGTTGTTTGTTTGGCAGGATGTTCTTGGGAATGAGCTCTGGCATTTAATGTGCCTGATTCTGACAGGCTGCTCTCAGTGGGGTTCCTGTTATCTTGGCCAGCCATGTCTAACCCCACCGCTCCCCTCCCGAGGTGTTGAAGGAGGTGTCTCTCAGCTATTAAGGGATTCAAGTCAGGTGGGACCAGCACAGGCACAGCCCCCAGAGAGCCTGAGAGAGAGAAGCTGTGGCTGTCCTTTCAACCTTCTCCATGCCAGGAGCTACCTTTCAGCAGGGATGAGACAAACCTCAAGAGTCCCCTTTTCCCCTCAAAAGGAAGGGATCAGTGCCAGACCATGGGTGCTGGCCAGCTCTGCTGCAAGAGAGCGGGAAGGCAACAGGACCGAGGGACTGCAGGAATGTGCCTCTTGGAAGAAAAGCCAAACCCACCAGGAAGAAATTTTATTTTTACACACCCATTATTTCTTTTGCTCTTGCTGACACTAGGATTTGCAGTTGCCTTTAGTTTTTCTGTAATAAACAAGCAGTTGCCATGGGAACCCTGCTATTAGTTAAGGCACAAATGTATTGTCATGGGGAGAATAGCAGTAATATTCCTTGTGCTGGGGAACAGCTCTGCACCATGTGGTGGAATGTGGGTGGGATTCTGCAACGGGTCAGGCGGGATGGGGCTGTCAGGGGGTGGGGAGCAATAAGCAGCAGGGCTTTAGTTCTTTGGAACTCTGAGTTCTGCAGAAAAAAATGTAAAACATCTGGGTGGAAGAAAGAAGTGTGATCCCTGAGGTATTGCACTGTTTGGCACGAGGGCTGCCGGCTGCTCTGCTCTGTCTCTGGTGGTTTCTCCTGTTGCAGTGTACTCCAGTCCTGTTACCAAGCAATGCAACGTGCTGGGCTTGATGCTGTCGGAAGCACAGGAGCAGTGTCTGGGCAGGGGGATGCGGCGAGTTCATCTGGTGTCAGTGTGCTGGAAGCTACATCCTTTGGGGGGACTGTGCTGGGGCATGTCAAGCGCTTTGCAGGCCACTGAGAGGGTCATCCAACTTCTCTACAAGTTTGGGCAGTGCCAAAACTGCATGTGTGATGCTTCTGAAATGGAGAGTACTCAGGTCCAGTCCCCTCCTCGTGCTTGGAGATGTCACTGCAACTGCAGGCAACACTGTGTGATCTGGCATAGGAGCTGCACTCAGTGAGACACTTGGGTTGTAATAAAACTCTTTGTCTCTGACCCTCCCACCCACAGTGACTGGGAGCTAATGGCCCCCCCCTGCTCCCCGGGGGTTGTGTTTGCAAAGGCTGATGATATGGGTGCTGCAGGGGAGCTGTGTGCTCAAGGGCTTGTGTTCAGCCCGTTCATCCAGCACGTCTTGGCTGTGCTGGGTGCGTTGCAGCTGTTTGGAGCTGTTGCTGCAGGATGCCCTTGTATGCCCATTTAGTTTTTCTGTATTTTTGGCAGTTGCAAGAAATGCCAGGCTTTGTGTGTGCAGGGACTGAGCTCTGCCCTGTGATGGGCAGCAGGAGCATGTCTGGCACTTCCCATCACAGGTGTGCCCATGCCAGATGCACGCATTTAGTATTACAGCTCAACCCCAGCCAAGTGCTCCTTCACCCTTGGCCTCAGCACAGCCTCCCCACATCCTCTGCTGCTGGGGGTAGGTGTAGCCCAGCAGCCCTTCACCATTCCACATGACGCTCTGTGCCACGAGGCTCCGGTACCTCTGGCTTGGAGGTTGAACCATGTGTTGGAGGAACTGTGAACTCTGGAAGCAGCTGTGGGGTCTCAGGCCCTTGATGAGTGACCCGTTCCCAGTGGGAATACTGCTTTTCTTGCAAGTTTTATCTTGGTATGGGTTTTTTTTTATGAGCTTTTTTTCAGTCAGCTGGAGATGGAGAGGGATAAATCTGTTACATTCTCTGAAACTACAGCTGTCCAACGACTCTTATTGATATATCAGCAACTGCTGGAACACCAGATTTACGACTTCTGGGCCCTGGAAAATGCCAGCAGAAGGTCTGGGAGCTTCGGGAGAAAAATTACCTTAAAGGGAAACATTGGCGCAGTGGGTAAAATACACTCTTATTGGCAGCAGAGGAAATGAGAGCAGACAGGGCTGCTGCTGTGGTGCAAGTGGCTTCATGTCATTAATATTTTCTTCCTCTTGTGCTGGTCCTCTCTGTACTGCTGAATGGCAGAAGGGAAGGCAGCTAAAGTCACCTCCACTGATTCACTGGGGCCTTCTCCAAATAAATCCTGACTTCCAGCATTTTTAAAGGATTCATGGAGGAAGGAGCTGTTCTAAAGCGATGGATTTTATGAATCCAGGAGGCCAAGAAAGGATGATGGCCAAGTGGGACAGGAGCACATTTTCTGAGAGAATTGGGCAATAGGACAGTCAGAATCATTCTCACAACTGAGATTCTGATTTTATAGCAGAAAAATACATACTGGTATGTATGGGTTGTTATTTATCAGTATTTATGTATAGTCCCTCACCTCTCGCAGGTAGTTTTGGGGAGGTAGTGAAGCTGTCTTTAAGACAGCAAAGCCCAAAGCCAAACCTTTGCTTTGAGGACTCTTAGCCAGCAGTGCAGCCCCAGTGCTTGTAACGGGGCTTTGCTCAGCTCCACAGCCCCTTTCCCTGCAGCTGAGAGCTCCCGTTCCTGCCCGTGCCGGAGGGGAAGGCTGCGAGCGCAGGAGGAGCCGGTGCCCAGGGGAAGGCTGCGCGGGCAGCGAGGAGAGGCCCTGGCAGCATGCCCCTGCACAGTGCTTCCCAGCAGCATGGTGTGCGTGGGGAGCTGCCTGCCAGGGCAACTTCAATAACACTTTGCAATAATGCTGGCAGCCAGCTTTAATATCCTCGGAGATGTTAACTCCAGAAAAGTGCTATTTTAAGTATTAATATACTTACTCTTTTTTAATAAAATACTTTGTGTAGTTCAGATTGCTGCCTGAATACAGGAGCCTCTGCAGAGGTCCTTGGCAGAAATGTTTGACCACTTGTGCTCGCCTGCTCAAGGGGAGGGATACCTGTGTTCCTGCTCTGGGCAGTGTTAAAGGGTTTGTAGCTCTGCGGGCTGCATACAGTGAATTCTAGGGCTGATACAGAGAGATGAACTGACAGCTCTCTTTGCTACCTCATGGTTGTGACCTTGTTTCTGTGCACCCATGTCCCTCCTGTGCCCAGCAGCACCATGAGGTTGGTCATTACGAGTAACCCAGCACGGGGGTAAAGGGGTTTGTTCAGTAGCAGAAAGGGGAACTCCTTTCTCATGTGCATGTGAGCTTATAAATGCATACTGATGAATATAAAGAAATAGTTGGGCTTCCTTTTTCTACAGTAGAGGCTGTAGGTTGCAGTGTTGCCTACTCTGTGTCCCACATGAGCCACTATTGTACTTTCTATCAGGGATTGTGACCCGCTGTGTAAAATGGCACCTGAGCTGCTGGGAGAGCTGGTATCCTTGGTCAGCCTTGGTCAGATGGAGAAATGCTGTAGGTGCAGTCCCTCAAACAAAAGACAGTTGTTTTCCCTGTTATCTTCCTCCTCAGCACCATCTTTTCTCTTCTGAGATCAGGCCATTACAAAAGCCCAGGAGTTGGAAAAACACCTTTCTCATTTTACCCAGAGCAGCTGGAAGTCAAGTTGTCTTTTACACCAGTATAAGCAGGAGAGGTGCTTGCATAATTGCATGGAAAAGTGAAAACAACCTGCCAATTTGGGAAGTTGTGTCTGGCAAAATGAGGCTCCTTCAGATCTTGTGGAAACTATGGAGGGTGGAAAGCAGCAGGTTTAGGGCTGGGATTTGGGGGCAGGGAGGGAAGAAGCAAAAAAAAGTGGCCTTGAAATGGGGGAACAATATCCTTGAGGAAGAGGAGTGATCCTTGCCTTTTAAGCCTTGGGGGCATAGGAGTAACATGGTTCTGGGCAGTGTGCTGATCGGGATGAGTGCTGAATGGATGATGAGCTAATAAGGCTGGCTCTTCATGTAATCACTGCAGGTTTTTTTTAGTTGATGTGCTCAGTATTTATCTGATGTTTTCCTTATAGATCCTGGAGCTTCCACAGAGGTCCTGCTGCACTTGAAATCTGGCTTGGAGGAAGCCAGCCCCTCTTTCCACATTACTCCAGTGTGGATGTTCTTACAGTGCAGCCAGGACCCCTTCACCTGCAGCAGAGCAGGAGCCAGCCTCATACCCAGCCCTTAGTGTGTTGCTCCTGCATGGGAGACAGCAAATGTCAGGAGGAGGGAGCTTGCTGGTGTGCTGGCGTGGGGGTCAGCAGGAGCAGAGCCTGGCTCCCAGACCAGCCACACTGCAGGGCTCTTGTCTTGGCAGCAAAGCAGTGATGTGCTCCCCATGGTCCCAGTCAGGTTTTAGGAGAGAAGCACTAGTGGTGTGTGCATCTGCTTCAGGTGCTGGCACCACTGGAGAGTGTGCGGTGAAGTTATAATTCATCTGTAAAAAGTAAAAGCACATCATGTTTGAGAAGAAGGGTGAACAGCTGTAGAGGAACTGCAGGTAGGGCTCCTTTGGAGAGGGAGAACGTGTTCAGCGAGTCAGCATTTGTTCATGTTTTATTTGGATCCATCTGGCACTCTCTTTGGTGTGTGTTATGAACATTGTGAATAACTGTCTGTCTCCTCATTTCGATCTTTTCTGCAGTGGTTTCTAGTGACAGTGACTCAGAGCTCAGTTCTTCCAGCTTGGATGACAAGCCCTTACCTGCAGAGTCAAAAGTCTCACAAGGCAGAAGGCATCGAGCAGAACTGGGTGAGGAGTTGCTGTTCCTTGTGGCTAGAGGCTGGGAATTGTAAAGTGCTTGAATGTTTGGCTGTTGGTACTGTGGGTTTTGGCTCAGCCACTTGCCTGCCCTGTGCCGGTGCAGCCGACTGGTGTGGATCTGATCCTTTCTCACTGGAATAGTATCAATGCATCAGTGGGTCACCCCGTTGGCTGCAGCCTTTCAGGGTCTGCCCTTACAGCTGGGAGCTGCTCCCAGCTGCCTGACAACACGTCTCCGGCCAGCTCCTCGCTCCTGACTTTATAGCACCAGAATCACTGATTCTGTTTTGGGACCAGAGCATGGGAACTGGGTTTTGACCCTGCTCCTGAGGATGCCTGGTTGGGAGTGGGGAGGCTGCTGCTCTCTTAGAACTTGGCCCAGCATCTGCACCCACTTCTCCCTCCCACAGCAGTATCTCTCTGTTGTGTCCCTGCAGCATCCATTGGGAAACCAAGCCAGGCCGTGGGCAGGAGGCTGGGGAGCACCCACTCCCCTACCCTCTCGGGGAGCCACAGCAGCCTGGGCAGCGAGCAGGGGGCTGCCCTCAGTGCCACGGAGAGCTGTCAGAGTGACCAGGCAGCGGACGGGCGCGACAGTGATGTTGGGAGCAGAGTTTCTGGTAAGCTGAACCTCTTCTCTGGGCGGTTCCATGCTTTTGGGGCTAATTCCCCTCAAACTACAGCTTTCTGAGGCACACCTGGCAAAGCTGTGGTCCAGGATCACCTTCCCCTGCTGCTTTTCTCATGGCAGATGCTAGTTCACTCCTTTCCTCTTCTGTGCAGAATCTATTCTGCAACATGAATAATTGTCTGGGGTGGGAGCTGCCTACACCCACCTCCAAGAGCAGCAGTGGTCTGAGTCTGTCCCTCTGCAAAGGCCCAGAGCTCGTCTGCCCTGCAGAGACAGCAGAACACATTGAGCTTTTATTGAAGCAAAGCAGAAGTCCAGCAGCTTTATGAGACTGACTAAAAAATTTCCTAATGTTAGATGGCTCTTAAAGCCAAGCATGGATCTTCCCAGAACTCTGCAGTGCAAAAAAAAAAAAAAAAAACCAAAAACCTTTTTCCCCCTCAACAACCTTAGAACAATTAAGTGACTGTGAGAGCAGAGGCTGCTATCACATCTGATCTGTAGCAGCTGAAAGAGATGCAAATGTGTTCTCTCTGCAGTTCCTGCTAATCTATTCAATAACCCCTTAAGTTATCGTTTAGTGCCGCTCCCTCCAGAGCATTCCTGCTGCCCTGTGAACTGCCACTCCTTTTGTTCCTGAGCCTGTTTTGTGCTGTGCACGTTGAGGCATAAATTGAATTAGAGAGCAGGTTTATCCTTCAGTGCAACGTGGAGTCATAGTCCCCCTCCCCATGCTTCCTGCTAGAAGTAGCTTGCATAAAATAGTTTTTCTGCTCTTACCTTCCTCCCCAGGTTTCAGAAATTTGCAGTTTTCTTTAGTTTTTCGCAAAGCAAATCAGATGAGTGATACCTCTGCTCTCTCTGGATTATAGTGCTGCCCCGGACTGGGCCGTTTATTTTAAGCCCCTGTTGGCTGTGACAGTAAAGACAGCTGATTCCTGTTGTGTGTTGGCTCTGCTGCCTGCCAGAGCGGAGCAGCAGGTTGTCCTGTGGGATTGAAGCGGGTGATGGTGGATAGCAGGTGTGACCCCTTGGGTGCTTTTTCTGCTGGTGCTACATGACCATGCTGAAGTCTGGATGGATGCACACCTGGACAGACAGTGTATTTGTACAACGCTTAGCACTTTGGAGCTTTGTTGCCAGCTGTTTGAACTAACTGCTGCCTGGCCATGACAGTGCAAACAGTCTCTCAGAGGCAAAAAAATGCCTTTTTCCTGCAAAACACTTTGCATGCAGAGCTTGGTGCAAGGGGCCTGTGCTTTCCAGTTGGACCTCTCCTTGTTAGGCAAGGGAGAACTATAAATGACAGGCAGCAGGATGTACATTTAAAAAACTCAAAACTGTAGCAGCCTTATGAACCCAGTTAAAATAGTCCCTGAGAAGTAGAGGGGATCCTGCTAAGTAAAAGGTTAAGCCAAGGTGGCTGACTAGAGAGAATCTGTAGAGATCTGTAGTATGTCTGGGGTCATTTATTTCCCAGTCTTCCTGCAGGAGGGGCTACTTTGTTGAGATGTGGCGCTTGCAGCAGCAAGTGCCTTGGAGGAAGGGCTCTGCAGCCCCCAGAGCCGGGGGAGGGAGGCAGGGGGCACAGTAGCAAGTGTGCTGGGAGGAATGAAGCTGGTGGTGGCTGCAGTCAGCAGGCACGGGCTTGGGAACTGGTGCAGGGAGGCAGTGGGTTCTCTGTGTCATGTCACGTCAGGGAACCAGCTGCCAGCCAAGCATCCTCCTGGGCCAGAGAGCTGCTGCGGGCTCACAGGGAGTTAGGTGGCACTACAGCCATGGCTCTGCAACCTCAGGAGGTGACAGGACGGGCTGCAGAGCAGCTGGCCTGTCTTTGAGCCTGTCCTGTGCTGGTGTTATGCCTTTCCACAACGTGGATGCTTTCAAGGGCTGGTGTGGCAGTGTTAGAGACTACCAAAGGTCTCTGCAAGGAGGCAAAGCTGGAACCTGAGCATGTGGGAGGCATGTGATGTGCCATTGTTGTGTTTGCCATGGCTGTGTGCTCTGTCGCACAGTGTGGGTCATCTTCAGCACTTCAGGGTTGGGAGGAGAGAGGAAAAGTGAGTTTGTTTTCCCTCTGATGTGTCTGGGATGTGGACTTGCCTCCATGCAGCGAGTGAGCAGCAGGGGTAAGCATGGTCGGCATTCGTTTACTCTGAGAGCACTTAACATGCCCAGCTGGAGAGATGCTGCTGCGATGTGATCTGTGTAGCAAACTGTTGGCAATCATGATCCATTACATATGTATTTGGTAATCAGCGTTACACAGCAATACGACTCGTGTGGCCTTGTGTTATGTGCAGCTCTGTAGCAGGTGCTTTGAGCAGATCAGACATCCAGGAGGCTCCAGTACTGAATGCCCCCATGCTTTGCCAGCAGCCTGGCAAAAGCAGCAAATAAAGAGCAAACCCAGTGCTTGTAGTCTCTTAGGAAGTGTCCTGCTCTGCAGAGGGGTTCATGTGCTCTGAGATGCTGGGGGTCTGGGGTGTGCAAATGCTGGGAGTCTTGGGGTAGGTGGCAGTACCTCTCCCCATCTTTAGGTCACTTTTGTCTGTCTGTGAGGGTCTTTTCATGCTGGGTCCCTCTGGATACCACTGTTTGCCAAAAACCAGAGGCTGTTCTTTCTGTTCATCTCTTTGAAGAGTGGTAGAAGCGATGGGTGCTGTATGCCAAGACTGGCAGAACTTTTCACTGCATCTCCCAGCTGTCTGACCCAAAAGGAGAGTAAGGGGAAAAGATCCTTTCTCATTTAAATTGCTGATCCTCAGCTGCAAAATGGAGACATTAAAGGGAGATTTTGCTATAGCTTTTCTGAAAGCCTCTGCAACTTTATAACACTGTGTTGGGAGCAATTTTTGCTTCATATTAGCACCTCAAGTGTTCTACCGGTGACTTTCTTTTCACTTCTTTTTCTCACCTCTGCTCTAATTCCGCTCTCAAGTGCGACTTTGCAGAACACTTTAGCATCTTTAAATCCCCGGCCGCAGCCAGAACAGGGAATTAGGGAGTGGTGCTGCAAATGCAGCTGCTCTCATACTCCTTCACTCTTTAAGCCTGAAGGCCAAGACAACAGCATGGTCGCACGGCCAAGGGAAAACAAGGGGCTATTAAGTAGAGTTTGTACATTTCCAGTGTATTGCTCCGGCTGGGGTTTGGTGAGGCAGATAATGAAGCCTGGGGGTTGTCATAAAATGACTCATTGTCAGAGTTGCATTGGGATTTAGGCAACCTCTGCCCATGAGACAAAGTTACAGAAGAGAGTGGTGAGTTGAGAGGCTGTCAATTTATTTTTTTTTTTTACCACCTGCTTTCAAACCCTTTCAAAAGCATTGTTTTCTGAGGGGCTGGTGTTTCTTCTTCTGAAACTTCAGTTCCTGGAGATGCCTGCTCTGATGTGATAGCTGTTAAGAGAAGGGTCATGCATTGGTTTTCCTGGACAACATTTTATTCTAAAGAGAATTAAATTTGCACACAGGAAAGAAGCCCAATCTTTCTTTTTCCCCTTACCTGCTGCCAGCTAGGGAGGTGATTCACCTTGTTCTGGCTGTACAGCTGATATGTTAAGAGGTGCCTCAGTTAAAAAAGAGCAAAATCCTTACCGTTAAGACATTTTTATTAAATAAAGGGAACATTAAACAGAATTAAGCAAAAGAAATCATCCGTATCTTACAGTGGTTTTCATTAGCCCATGGAGAGCTCTTTCTTTGAGCTTGGACCTGGATGCTGCAGGGGGTAAATTAAGAGCAAAAGACATCTCTCCTTAGATCAGTAGCAAGTTCTACTTTGATGGGTCCCAGTTAATGGGTTCTCAGTGTCTTCTGAGGACCTTGTCTCAGGAACAGGTCAATCCTGTTTGCGATTCTGTGGGTCACATGAACAGCTTGCTGGTAGGGAACGGTGAGTGAGCTTGGCGTGGGCTCTGGGGCTGGAGAAGGCTCTAATTTGTTTTTAAAATGAGGTTTGAGAAACAGCCACATGATAAGCTAATGAATGAGTAGCATACGTCTAAGTGCAAATCACAGTCTCCCCATCTCTGCTTGTTTGCCAGTGTGTCTAAATCATTAATATTTAAAGAGCAGTACAGCAGCTGGGAGTTAAACAAGGCCACGTTAAACAGTGGTGTTGCTGAGTCTGGGAGCCAAGATGATGATGGCAACGCCTGGTGGGGTATAAGAAATGTGGTTTTCAATCACAGGGTGAGACTGGCTGGAAGGACCTCCAGAGGTCAGCAGGTCCAGCCTGGACCCTTTTTCCAGGGTGCTGAAGCTGTAGTTTCTGGATACCTCCCTTTGGCTGCTGGCTTTGTAGCTGTCATGCTGGGGGAGGCTGAGGAGAGCTGAGAAAAGGGTCTGGAGCTGAGAGAGATGGGCAGGAAATGCTGCTTCCAGCTCTCTTAATCTGGGGAGATTTATGCCTTGTCTTTCAGGAATTGACTGGATTTAGAAATGAGGTGGTGTCACTCTCTCTGTGGCTCAATGCCTCCCCGGCTGGGGTAGGCATCAACTTTTGCTCATAAATATTCAAACTATTAATACATGAGACAGGCAGAGCCATTCTGCATTATTTTTGTGGCAGGAAATTCTCAGGGCATCTTTGAAGTTAAAGCATTAACTTCTTTTTTTCCCTTCCCTTCTCCCTCTCAGATACCTGTTTTGCTCCCTCAGGGATGATGAGGAGGTAACATTTTGCTTCAGTGGGCCTAACTACTCCATTCTATGTAGGAAAAAAAAATCATCCTAGCAGTAATTAGGCTCCAAATGGGATAGTAATTTCTTTAATGACTTTCTTCATGGCAGTCTTTGGGGAGGTGACTTCTGTTTTCCTGCGCTTGGTGAGAAAGTTCCTTGAATGTTTTCAGACTGCTTGTTCCCTCATCCATGTGAGCTACAGCTGAACAGTGTAGTCTTCCAGGGCTGGCTTTGCAGTGGGGGGAATAGGTGGGTAACCACACAAGGGAGCTGTACTTGCATCCCCTGCTCTTTCTCCCTCTGCCTTCAGTCTCTGCCTGCACTGAGGGCACAGGATAGAAAGGAAGAGGGGGTCAGATGTGGAGGAGAGACCCTCACCCACATCTACTTTGCTCAAAGCTTGCTGCCACTGCCATGGGATTGAGTTTTCCTGCTGCCAAGGAGGATGAGTTGTCCCTCTTCCACAAAGTGAAAAAATTGAATTGTGCCTTCATGGCTGAGCAGCTTTGAGCTGTCTCTGCCTCCTTGTATTGGTACTGCAGAGCACCGAATGGTCCTGCTGTATTTATAAATAAAACATGGCTTCGGGTAGTGACAGCATTATGAAATGATTCAAGGTTTGCATTCTAGATACAATGCATTTGTAAATACGAACCTCAGAAGCAGCGTATGCCCCCTTCCATGTTTTAAAGAATTAAAATATTTTCATCCTCAAATGGTAGAACCAAAACATTTTCAGCTCTTTTAAGTCCACCTTGAAGTTAAGTGAATAAAGGCTCAAGTACCTAAAAAATAAATTACTTTCACTATTTCTGTAATTCTTTATGGAGTTTTAAATTGAAAGCTTTTTCCTTGAAAATAGAGGAATGACAAAGACTCATTCTCTTGCCTCTTTCACTCAATATATCTGGAAACAAGTCTGCTGCTGAAGATGAAACTCCTATTTCTGTGCCGCTTTTCACGTTGCAGAGGTCTGTGCTTTGGTCTTTGATCAAACAGCCTGTCTGGCCTCCTGCCCCAACGTTCTTAGACTTATTCTCTGCCCTTTGCAATACGTTTGCTCCTCGCGATTCCAACTTTCTATTCAGCGTTTTGCACAAAGCATAAAGGAAAGAGCATGGGAAGTCAGTAATACAGAAGTTAAAAGTCTGAATTTTGGAGTCTTTGTAAACAAATTGAGAGGTTTCATGGCTCAGGAGGTTATCTTTCAACTGGGACATCGGCCAGTACTTGATGGGAGGAATTTGCAGGACTCCCTGTGCCTTGAACATTTCAAATGAGTGCAGTGGCTGGAAGCATCCCCTGTCCTTTCTCCAGGAGTCAAAGTAATTTGTGTCGCCTTTAGTTCAGAGAAGGGGGAGAGAAGTCAGTACCGACCCACCGCTGCCTTAGAGCACTCCACATTGCCAGCCCTGCGTTTCACCCTATGCGCTTGAAGCAGCGTGTCCCAGCAGGGACTGCTGAAATAATTAGCTCAGATTCGTTTAGTTGGCATGAACCAGAGTGCCTTCTGCAGCAGAGCCTTGCTGTCCAGCACCCATCCCCAGCCACGGGCAAGGACTACGTTCTGCCGTGGCTCCTGTCCGTGGCCCAGACACGCGGAGGGCAGGAGGGTCACGTGGAGGACCTGCTCTGTAGCACATGGGTACTGTCACCTGGTTTGGAAACCTCAGAGAGCTGAGGCTTGCCTTTCTGTCTGACTAAGCCCTCTGAGGGAAGCATGTACCAAAGGACCACTTCTAAAAATACAACTCCTTTCTCCTTTCCCCATTTCTTTCCCCTGTCTTTTCTTTCTTTAATAAAGTTTAATGGGCCCTGACTGCTGACAGACTGTGGAGTAATGATGCATAGACGTTCTCTTCATTATTTTTTTAGGAAGCTCTTAAAATGGCACCGAGCATGTAAAAGCAACATAAAATAACTTTGTCAAGTCTTCCCATCACTGCTTTCCAAACAAAACTTTTGTCTTTATGTATTTTGAAGGCAAATGGTGCATCCACACCAGAAAGCGATGCTGACAGAGATGAAGATGGAGCTGCTTTGCCTGGATCCAACGCTCTCCCCTTGCCCACTCCTGTAGACCTCACTCCAAACAATGACTGCTGCTGGTGGTGACTTTATGATCCTGGCTCTTGCACAGGCGTTAGCAACATGATGGCACCTGGGAAAGCACCTGTCTGTCCTCCCTGCCTCACTGACTTGGTTTATGGTTTGGTCTGGTTTCCCCTTCTGCTGACTGATACGCACTTCGGGGAGCTGCTCGGAGAGGGGTGCCATGCTGTGTGGTGCTGCTGTGGGGTCCAGACCCATGTGTGTTGGAAGAGGCACACAAAGTGCTTTCTGGAGCTGAAGAAATGTGTGCTGCCTCTGCTGTTCCTAGCTTGCCAAGCCTAGCCCTGGGTTCAGCTCCTTGCCTTGCCGTCCTGGCGTTGCAGTCTTCAGGAGAAAGGGAAATTCACCCCTATGTCCCTGAAATGGAGTGTGGGGAGACTGCAGCCCTTCTACTGCTTCTCAGCCCAGGGGTGTATTTCTCTCTGTGAATCCCAAGGGTGAGACTGGGCCTCCGATCTGCATTTGACTCCCACAGGCCCAGGTTATCACCACTTGTGTTTCTTGTCATCGTTGTTCTGGCTTGAGTTGGTATGAGTTCGGTGGGGGCATCCTGAAGCAGCTGGCGAAGGTGTGCTCTCTTTTACTTCCACTGAGGTCTTTCTCTGTGATAGGGCTGTCTGCTCAGGGAGACACTTCAGTTAGTAAAGAAACACTCAAAGAGGTTTGCTAGGAATTTTTCAGTTCTCCTGGCTGTGCACTGGCCTATGTGTCCTGTGGTGAGGGTGATGCTTTGGCAGTGGGATCATGGGCAGTGTGTGTGTGCTGGGAGAATGCCCACCACCCCACAGCCCAGCTGGATGTGTACCCAAATTGAATAAAAGCTTTCAGATCACTTTATCTTGTTAAGCTCTGCAGATTCTCCTCCCACATGCACACCTTGTCATCTCTTGCATGAGCGGGGGCCTTTGTTTTACCTTTTTCCTGCAAGTCTTGAGCCATCTGGCTGTCTGTGATGGTGTCATCACAAGTCAGGCTGTAGAAAGCTGTGTGCCCAGGTTCTGCTTATTCTCTGGGATGGGCAATTTCCCCCCAAGGCCTGACAGATGAGAAAAATCAAATTACCTGACATCTCCAGAGCAATTAGGTATTTGAAGGCCTGAACGAAACCCACATTAGGCAAGTAGGAGTCTGGATTTTATTAAATGCTTTGGATCTGACCCAACTTTTGCTGAAGAAACAAATGATTCCAAAAAGTTCCCTCTGAAATCCTGGGTTTAAAGACAATTTGTGCCTGTTGATGTCAGCCTTTTCCTTTGGTTATTACTCTTTTCTTCCGATCTCCTTTGCTGCTGGGCGCTTTGTGAGCATGTAGAATATGCTTTTACAAATGGCTGCAGTATGAAGATAAATGAGATTGGGCGCTGGAATGCTCTAACAGGAGATCGGAAATCAATCCTTGACTTTCTTCCTAAATGAACATGGTCCAACAGAGGACTGTTCCCTTACTGCTTTTCCAGCCAACGCGCTATGGCAAATTGCTGGGAAAATCCTTCCAGCTCTTCCTCTGTGATCTGTTTCTGCCCTTTTAAAAATAAAAACAAAACCTTTGGATGATGTGGGCTCTTTGAGATGGCATAAAGAGAAACCACTGAACGTGGGCTTTACAACACTGTTGTTGAAGAGAACAAGGAATGAGGTTGTTCTCCACTGCGTGATGCTTTATGTCGTGGTCTGTGTTGTTTAAACCCGGGCATTGAGACTTGACCAGCTGCATCTCTGAAAGGGGTAATGCCAAAATTATTAGCCATTTCTGAAAAAGTAAACCCAAAAATCAGCTTTTGCTGAAACTTCAGTATGATTTCAGAGCTGAAGCCATGCTGTTTCTTCCGAGGGTCTTAAATTGCAGAAGGTGTTTTGCCACCGAAAAAGTCCTGTTCTTGCCTTGGAGTTTTTGACAGGCTTACTGAGGCTGTCTTGCTCATGCTGTCATTACTGCAGTGCCTCAGACAGCCTGGACGGCCAGGCTAAGTTAATTCTCTAGAAGAAGAAGGAAAAAGACACTTAAAAATTGACTCAGTTTTCTTTAAACCTGTTACTTTCTCATTAAGAACTCTACTGAGTTCAAAAGAGTTTTTAAAATTGAGCATGTCATTTTTAACTCCTCTTGTGTTTCTTGTTCTTCATTCCTGGGCAGTGCAGGCAGGTCAGTCGTGTTTTCACCCCCACTCTCGCTTCCCACAGCAACTTACCACACTGTGGGTTGCCAGCTCTGCACAGGAATCTTGTAATCCTTGATGGCTTACTCTGCCACTTTGAGGCATGAGTTTGATTTTTAATTGAGACAGGGTTTTATAAAACACTCTCACAGATAAGTTTGGGACTGCTCTTGTACCAATGAGACTGGAAACTCCTTTCTTACCTCTATATTTTACCTCTGTGGAGTAATTCTACCTGAGCTTGAACCAGAACTGTTCCATCATCTATGGAAAGACTCCTCTTGGGTTGAGGGAAGGATCTAGCCCAGGACAATGTGATCTAGCGACATGTGAACACGATAGAGGAACATCCGCAGTTCTGTGCACATGTTTTCTATTAAAGACCACTTTTCCCTTTGTTGTGTCTCTCATGGTTGTGTTTTGTAGCTTTCTTTGGAATATTATCCTAAACCTGTACCAGTTGACTGCCTTCTGAGTTGACTCAAGGTGGGCAAAAAAGGCTCAGTCAATAGTGCTCAGTCTGCTCTGGTGGTTTGTGTTTCTTATATTATTTTGTTGTTTTCATCTCCATCCCTTACAACTTTTATGTAGTGTTTTACTACTGGAAACAATAAAGCTTTGACTCAGTAACAACTGCTTGCCATTCTTGAAACAGTAAAAAGTTTTTTTCCATTCTTAGGTTGTGGATACTCTCCAAATCCTTGGGTTGGCTCCAGTGAGGAAAGAAAATAATCCAGCCAGCGGAATGGTGATTCACACGGCTGGAGCGTAATTGAATTCTGCACTTGAAAGTTGTCTTTTGTCTTGCCCCTCTTTGGTAGCTTGTGCTGGTGATGACAGGGGGCACAGGTCTGCTCCTCAGCCCCTCTGTGGAAGGTTTTTCATGTTGTAACCACTAAGCATAAGGCAGCACCGATTGTCATTCTGTCAAGTACTGTCCCCACAGCCTCCCAGGGCTCATCACTTGCTCTAGTTTGACAATCAGGGTCCATTTAGCTTTGCCTACAGAGAAGCATCTCTGCATTGTTTTCTGAACACGTGTAGCCCTGGCTGCTCTGCGTTCCCTTCCACTTGGCATTCAGCTTCAAGGTTTCAAATGGCTTTTTAATCTGTTTTTGCTTTTCCCATTTTAAAAGCACCTTGATAATTGCTGTTGGGATTGTTTTGCTGGGGAGCTGCCATTAGTCCAAGGATGGAGCATGTCAAGGACTAACGACTTCTTACGTTGTTCCTTCCCCCCTCCACTTGCCATGACAACAACCAGTATGTGGGAAAGTCAATTGTGGGATCTCTCTGAGTCAAAAACACTAGCCATGAATTGCCAAGTTTCCATGTTTGTTTTTTGTATCTGTAGTTTGGGGGGGAAGGGTATGCTTTCTCTGTGGGAGCTGTGTGTAGTAGTTTGACATAGCTGAAGCAAATGGGCTACCAGCTGGTGTTTAGACAATGTGTTTCTGACCATTACTGAATCGGACAGCAAAGGCCCTGGACTATCAGCCAGAGTGCTTGGACAGTGACACAAAATGGCAGATGGCTGAAGTTAATTTGTAAAATAAAATTTAGCAGCAGTTGCTCTTCTTTTCTCCCTAACCCTCGCAGAAGATGTTTCTTTCCAGTGCAGAGGGCTGGTGGCAGTGATGTCCCAGCCCACCTCTCCCATTTCTTCTTGCCACCATTCCCATCGCTTTGTTCCTCTCCATGATGGAGACTGCTTTTCTGACCATAATGCCTTTTTTCTGCAGGTGACTGTGATTGATGGAGAGTTCAGGGAAGTTTTTTTGATGGGCCCATGCTGTAATCTAGTAATGAGACTTTCAGCAGGCGCGAGATGACAGGTGATGGGTAAGCATCTTTGGAAAACTTTTATCTTTATCTTATTCAGATTCGCTCCTGACTGTTGCCTCTTATTAGCAGTATATTCAGGTAGTGCTAGAAATGCCTGTGATGTTCAAGAGGCACAAGATGAGGATCTTGCTTCTCTAGCAGTGTAGTCTGGAACACGATGTGTGCTGCCTGCCACACAGGCTGCCACGTACATCCTCATACATCCCTGCCCTGTGCCTCTCTCCCTGCAGAAATATTTCCTCTCGTTATAGCAGAACATGAAAGGAGCCAGCCCAGCCCCACAGCTGGTGTAACGCGCTGCTGCTGGCCTGTGCCTCACTGCTGAGCTGTCCCTGGAGTTGCCCACACAGCACCCAAGGGTGCTGCTCTGATTGGCCCCTGGGACCTGCACCTTTGTGGGACAAATTCAAATCCCCTTGAGGAGGAGGGCTGTACACATTCACCTCTGTGCTTCACAGAGGTTCTGTGGGTTTGTTTGGAGGCATCTGTTGCCTTTCTTTTTCCTTTCACTAATTTCTGTCTGGCACTAGGAGTTGTTTGTAAAATCTTGGAGGGATTATTGCTCTTTTTTTCCGTCTCTGGAATGAGTGGCTCTACTTGATGTGTTCATATTTTGACAGGAAGGATGGATTATGGTTTTAAAGTATTTTTTGTTGTGGACTGTAGCAGTTTAACAGCAACTATTATGCTCTGAGCCCTCTCTCAGCCCCCAGCTATATGCTGTTTTCTCCCTAGGTGCTTCCCTGTAACTCTGTAGTTGACCAAATGCAGTAAACAGGCATTGCCACCTCCCTTTCTCATCAGCTCTCCTACCAGCCTAATCACTGTAAGCAGTTATTATCTGGGGCTGGAGACTTGCTGCTAATCAGGGCCTTATAGGGGCCATCTGGGCAAGGGGTGTTGGCAGAGACAGCTTCCACCTCCTGGGTGTTACTGACTTCTGCTTTCAGAGGTAGCTCTGACTAATTATCACAGGATTGCAGCCACTTTCAATTATTTGCAATTATACACCTCCCCTCCAGCTGTCCTGTCCTGTGCCATCGGAGCAACCCTTCATGTGTGGGAGCTGCCCTGAGGCAGCTACCTTCTGGGCTTGGTTTTTGGGGCTGGATTTGTGAGCTGGAGGGAGAGATCCCATCTTCAGGGCTGGTCCTTGCTTTGCAAGGCTGCGCTGCTTTGTAGTGACAGCCCTGCACAGTGTCCCCAGCTCAGCTTCTGGTGCTGGCTCTGTGCTGGATATTTCTGAGGCTCATTCACCCCCAGAAGAGTCCCCAGACTGATACATAGCCAGCTCCTGGATGGGGACAGCAGCTGGATCTCTGAGAGCGGCTGAGCCCAGCATTATTTATTTTTTGTTGGTGAAGCTAAGCTCAAGAGACCAGGAAAATCTCGGTGAACAGCTGAGCCCCGCTGCAGGAGAGCAGGGGGCAGGATCTGGGTCCTGGGTGAGCAGTCATTGAGCCGCTGATGGGACAGACCTTCATCTTCAAATGACACTCATGCAAAATTAAACTCCTCCAAGCAATCACACCATGACCATTAAAATGGTGCCTTGGAGGACAGAAGAATAAACCGAGAAACGCAAATTAGGGATATAAATCTTTCTGGCTGTGTCTGGGAGGTACCTGTTTAATTAGCATCGTTGAGCAGCCTTGATGTAGTAAGTGCTAAGTAGGAAACTTGCCAGATTTTCCCTGTTCTGATAGTAGGTGACTTGTGTTCTGTTTGAATTTCCACCTTGTGATTGTTTTTCTGTACTTGCTGGAGTTGCTGCGCTGTCTGTAGCATGAGGAATTAGCTGTTGTCACCTGGGCTAATCAGATGCCGCTGCACTGGGAAGGAGCTGCCCACATTGTCCCGCTTGAGCTCTCTGCGGTCGTGGATGTCTTTGCATCTAAGGTCTAAGGGATTGCAAAGCTGTTTCAACAAAGTACTGTGTAATGGAGTTAATGTGTTTAATCATGGTTTTTGGTTCCTGTCCTCCTGGAGCACAGGTCAGTTGCCACATGGAAATTTTAAAAGGGCTCTTCTCCCTGCTGTGTTGGAGGAAGACTGGGAAGGGAGGACAAGCTCTGTTCCCTGCAGAGGACTTGGCCACGTGGCTGGGATACAAACCCAGCCCCTCTCCAAGGGCTTGAATGTGAGGGCTGCCCCATGTTGCGCTGCAGTGAACTGCTCACACTTCTTTGCACTGCTTCCAGTGCTGCCTTGGGAAGCCAGGACCCCCAGTGCGAGGTGCTGAGCCTGCACAGGACCACATGCGTTGGTCCTACGTAAGGGACAATTGTCAGGGCACAGAGGAGCCTTCTGCCCTGTGTGCCCCCTCTTGCACAGCTCTGCTGTGGGCTTTGGAGATTTATTCAAGTGATGAATATCTCTGTGAGAATTTGGGTTAGGGAGTTACCGAGCCTTTGTTTCTATATCACCACTGTGTATTCCAGCACTGATGCTAATTGGTACCACTGTAACATGAATCTCTTTAACACTGATAATGTTTGTGAGTTATTGGGTGCTTGGCCTGGACCTGCCTGGGAATTGCAGGCAAAACGTCCAGAAGTGCTGCCGTCTCCCAGGTGGTGCCTCGCCAGGTTTGCGTCCTGCCTGTATTCATTCTGGCAGCTTCTGTATCGTGCTATTTAGCAGATCACTGTTACTGACCTGTCACTGTGGGAGATGGTGGGATTAGGATGATGGAGTGGTTGGAGAGGATAAACAATAATGATGCTACATCGGCGCAGCCCAAGCAATGCCTTTCTCTTTCATGTTTTCTTTTTCTGTCAGTTTGCTATTCAAGTGTAATAAGATCAGTGCAGATAATTTGTGTATTCATACAAAACATAATTTTCCCTCCCGTGCTTTACCAGCTGCACTGCAGTCGGAAAGGCAAATACGCACTTTCTTTTCCATGGTTATGAATGGGTGCATCTGTTCCTCGAAGATAGGGAAAGGAGGGTGAAAGGACTGGAAAGGAAGGAGAGAAATCAGATGCAGCTCGTTTCATTGCCTCTGTGGAGAGGGAAGCATACAGGAATCGGATTTTTGCAGCATGGGCTCAGTCCCACACTGATGTATTGAGGAGGTGGGTGAGACACCGCCATGTGGGAAAGGCAGAGGAAGGGGTTTTGTTCAACAGGGGAGCAGCCCGTGGGAGCACAGCCACCCTGCAGCAGGGCAGGGGTGCCCAAGGGAGCTCAGCCCCACCTTGGTCAGGGTCTGCAAACCCCTATGCAAGGACAGCCAGAGCCATGCATGGGGCTGGTCCTGCTCCTCTGCCCGAGGAGGCCTTACGCCACGAGGGCCCCACTGCCTGCTCCTGGCTCTGGCTCTGCTTTCACCGTGCTGCCTTGCTTCAGCTCTGGGTAGGGCTTATCTGGGAATGTCAGGGCAAAGGCTGGAGCTGAGCTGGGCTGTGCTTGCTCCTCCCTAGCTGGAAATTACAGCCACCTTGCTCCCTAGGCAATTTCCCTTCCTGTGTCAGGGGTTGCATCCCTGAACTTTCATGTCCTCATACCCCAGGCTCTGCCTGACAGCCCTTGTTGGAGGGCCAGCATC